TACCTTGATTGGCCTGAAAAGGAGATATTATCTACCTTTGAAGAGATGGGTCGGGTCGGATCGGATCGGGACAACGCAGCATGGAAAAAATCTAGCCTATCACAGCCTAACATTGTATACCAATATTTGCCCTAGAACACGTGTTTACCTGAGGACACGTGTAACGTGTCGATCCCTTCATGTCTCCCACCCTCTCCCCTTAATTATCGCCTCCACAGCTCCCTACATTTCTCACAATTCACAAACCCCCACCTCCGCCGGAGAAAGAAAGCATAGAGAGGCAGAGAGAAACAAACAAGCAAAGAAAGATGAGAGAGATGAACCGCGGTGGAGAATCATCAGCCATGATAAGCTGGTCCGCCATGAACAACCCTACCACCTGCAGATCCGGCTTCAGATCGGTGCAAGACGTCGGTCCGGCGATCATCAACCGGCTCATGCTCCGGTTCCGCCCCATCGCCCCCAAACCCTCCCCCACCTCCGCCGCCCCGGAACTACCCTCCTCCGCCGCCGCAGCAAACAGTCACACCCCCAGAAAGAAACGGAAGTACGATAGGGCTCGCAAGAGCAACAATAACAATGGATCCCATCCCAAAAGAAAGGACACCTCGTCATCTTCATCGTCGTCAACATCATCGTCATCACCGACACATCCTCCTAAATCCTCAAACGACGTCGTAACGCTCCAGCTCCTCCCGGAGAACAACCATCCACGCGCGGCAAGTGACCAGGCGCCGACGGCAAAGAAACAACGACCATCAGCTCAAGATGACAAGTCGTTTCCACCGTCGGGGTGCCGCAACCTAGATCTCGCCGTGTCCACGTCAGCAGATCTGATGTCGTGGCCGCGGGAGAATAAGGTGGTGGAGGAGTCGTGGGTGACGGTGGAGTCGAGGGCGGAGATCTCGTCCTCGGACTTAGCTTACTGCAGGGGTCTGGAGGAAGTGAAGATGCGCTTAGGTGTTGACACGTGTCCGGGGTTCGTAACGGACGGCTGCAACCGGGTGGTGTGGGTGAACGGCGCGTACAGGAGGGTGGTGGGGATGATGACGGCGGCCGCCGCCGTGAGGGTGGTGATGAAGGACGATGAGGTGGCGGCGTGTTTTGGGCGCGAGATTGGAGGAGGAGCGTACACGTGTTGGGTGAGGGTGAGAGGGGAGACGTGGAGGAAGGAGATGGTGCCGTGTGACGTGTGGCGGCTGGAGAACGGTGGGCTTGCATGGAGGCTCGACGTTGAGGCCGCCCTCTCCCTTGGGCCGGGTTAGAATGCGTAGTTAAAAGGGTTGGGGAAGTATTTTCAAAAGACACTAATCGCTGCTCCAAAACCATACTTAATTAAAGCAAGGAAATTAGCTTTATATGCATATTATGGGAAGTAATTATCCTCCTTGAGAACAAGAGGCTGGGTTTTAGCGATTTCGTAGTTGATTTGTAACCCGGAGATGGTAGGTTTGAGTTACGTTTCAGGGTATACTTGTTTTGTTATGCAGACTCTCTTCATTAACATGTAAAAATAAATAAACCAGTCTTCGTTTCTTCTCAATAGTGTAGCTATAGGAGTGACCAATCTTCCAAATCCATCTTTAATTTGTCTGTTGAAAAGGACCACGCTAGCTCAACGATAAATAAGGGTGGGATGGATGAATATCCATGAGGTGGCAGATAGTAGCGAGTCCAGTAGCGAGTCCAAGAGTTATATTGGGAAATCTGGTCTACATACCAAAAGCTAGACTGGTGGAATTGTGCATTATAGATATATATGGTCCTAAATCACGTTTGTGATGTTGTCGAGACTAGCAAATATGTGTTTCCCGCCCGCATTTTTGGAGGGTTCCCATGTACTTTCAAGGCCTCTCGATCAAATCTGGAGAGGTTTATTACTATGTCAAAGATATCAGTAGCACAAAATGTATGTTTGCGTCCTAAAAATTGTGGGCGGGCTATATATGATGTTTTATCATGCACTCATATATACATGTCGATTGAGCACTATGATTTCATCTCGAGTCGAGTGGTTGGCAATGTTCATAATGAGTATTCTAGCATTTATTAAATAATCTTCTCTGAGGCAGGTAGGTCACTTAATGGACTTGAAATGGTGAATATTTTTTCATCTCGTGTTTAAATCTATTGTTAATAAAGGACTTATCAACAAATAGTGATGCGATTTTTTCACAATTGAGGATCATGACATGGTGCTAAGAATTAGCTAGAACCCGATAATTTGATTATTGAGAAATGACAAGGTTCTCTAATGAAATTCTTACATAACTTCAAACTTTATGAATGTGTATTTGCTCGTTGAAATCAAACTTATTTGATCACAATGTGGTGGACGTGAAATAATCTATTTGCTTCAAATTACTGGGCTATCAATATTGCAATCAAATATGGGTGAATTCGCCAATATACTTAAGAAATTTTACCATGTGTTTCTTCTGTCTTTATTAAATTATAGTAAAAATTCTGAACGTAAATAAAGTATATTCATTAGTGAAGTTCAAAAACTCAATAGAATCAAAGGTTTGCCGATTTTACTATCTATGATTCTCCACCTCTTTCAATTTACTTGATCATCAATATTGAAATGATGACTCGTGAGTATTCAAATACGAGATTGTTGCTCAAAAAATTCCGCTATGTCGATAATTATTTCATATCAATAACTTGAATTATTCTAGAATGCTAAACTTATAAACTTTGTATTGTTTTTAGTTAATGATTAATGGACAACGCCAAATAGAACTTTAGGCTTCCTATTATTTATTGGGAAAAAGGCTATTTTCAAGAGAAAATAATTTCATGAAGGTCTAGCTACTAATGTTTAATGGGCTCGTTAACATGGAAAAGCCCAACATTGGCAGTCTGCCAACATCGTGCGGGAAGCCCATCATTGTCATTAGTGCTCCAATGGCTGGCGGACATGTCAGCCCAAAAGCCTAGTTATCATCCTCTGTAGTTGAGATGATAACAAAGGCCCAACAGACCCTTTTTCGTTTAACCCAAAAGGCCAAAACTAGATTAAGATCTTCATGGTCATTTTGTCATTGGTCAACAAGGTGGCTAAGCCCTATCTGATACTAGCTCAGTTTGGCCCTGCTGTAGCTTTTGGAGAAGCAGCTTCTGGCTGTAGCTTTTAGAGAAGTACTTTTCAAAAAAAGCAGTTGAGTGTTTGGCTGAAAAACTATTAGAAGTGCTTTTTAATATGAGAGGTTATGTAAAATGACTATAAAGGATTTAAAATATAAAATATGAATAAAAATTATAAACAATAAAAAGTAGTCAATATGGATCTTGTTAGATTTCTTTTATATTAAATAATATGATTTTATAATTATTTTATTTTTATAATGATTGAAATGAAATAAAATTATATTTTCTGAAATAAGATTAAAATATGGTAAGGATAATTTTGTATTTTCAGAACAGCTTTTCGCAGAAGCTCCAAATCGGAGCTTCTGCTTTTATGTTATACAAAAGCACTTTTCAGCTTTTCAAAAGCCGAGCTTTTAGAGGTGTTTGGCCCTGCTTCAGCTTTTGAAGCCGAAAAGCACTTCTAAAAGCCGGGCCAAACATAGGCACTTTCCCATTCCAATGTAATCAATTAATTTTGTCCATTACCACTTTCTATGGGTTTCCTACTTCTACTCTAAGCATAGTGAGTAGTTTGTTTCCCTTGGGTATCTCCGGACTCCAATGTTCTTTTCTCCTATCTAGCTTATATATTAACTGCATAATTAGTAATTAATTCATCAAATGATTGACCAGACAAAACAAATGACACGAGATCAGCTTAATTATTAATTACTTAATAATAAAACAATTACAAACGGATTTAAACCGTACCAGATTCGCATCCCCGCCATAAAAACAGCCGGTCACGAAATCCGACGGCTGATATCGGAACAGCTCTTCACCCGTTGGATCACACGGATTAAACATCCAACGGCCCGCATTCATGCGTGGAGTCCTCGTATAAATAGGGAGTCGGTGGCAACATTGTTGCTCTTTTCCCATTTTTGTCAAATTGGGAAGTCATAAATTCGACTTTCGTTTTCTTCTCCACTTTCTCTCTCTTCTCTCTTCCAATAGCGCGTCGCGTCGCTCTTGCCGTTCGCTAGGGTTCTTCGATTCGATACTGTGTGGAGTGTGGGCCGCCGCCGCTTCCGCTGCTGCTACTGCTTGGTCGACGAGGAGCCGAATTGTATTGGAGCTAGCTCGCCGGGGTTGGTGTGGTTCGCTGGTTCGGCGGCTGCGCCTTTCGATTTAGGGTTTCGTGTTTTGGTTGTAGAAGGGGTGGGAGGTTTTAGGGTTCGATTTGGCTGGGACGTGATCCTTTGTTGAAGTTGGAATTCGAAGCTTGGCTCTCGCTGTGGAGGTTTTGAGTTGGGAGGGGATATAAGTAGAGCAGGAGACAGTTTCTGGTAATTGAATTTTGGTTCTCGTTGATTGAAATTGATCTATTGGTTCCTCTTGCCTGAAAGCTTTATAAAGGGGTTTGCTTTCTCTCCCTTTTGCGCTTTTCCGGTGAATTTTACTGCTCGAATTCACATTCGAGCTTTTCAAAGGTTTTCGTTGATTTGAAGTTAATTACCTCTTCTTCTAGGTCGATTTTCTTCATGGATTCGCCTGTTATTTCTCAAAATTTGTACTTGTGGTGTCCTGATTCTTTTGTTTTGTTTTTCTCTTGTGTAGCGTTTCAAAGTTTAAGTGTTCATAATGATTTTATCGGGGAGGAAACTGGTTTTGTTCCTTTTATAATTTTCCAATGTGTTTTTACTTGTAAGAACGTATTTTTCGACTTTGGTCTGATGAAATGGAACCCTGTAATTGAGTGAACCTGAGGATACCCTTTATTACACATGACTTATTCATGCAGAAGGCAGTTGTCGAGTGGATAGGATGGGAAAAGTGAAAATTTCCGTGGTTGCTTACTACCGCAGCAGCTCATTTGGGGCAGCTGGTGCTTTTGAGAGATCAGCAAGTTCTGACAAATTGATATGGAGATTACTGCATCTGCAAATTCTAGTGCTCCAGTTAGGAAATTCTTGAATCTGAATTCCAGTAAAAGGGATACTTTTGGGGTCCCTACACAAGTCCTGTCTCCTGCCCAAATGTCTTCATTGGAAAGAAAAGATATGATCCGAAGATTGAGATCTGAGCTTGAACTCGTTCGGGATGTCCAGAAGAACATTGTAGTGGAGAGAGGTGTTGGAAATGTCTCTTCATCTAACCGTGTTCTGAATGGTACCAGTAGACCAAATGGGCTGTAGCAGTAAATTCCAAGAATTCCTCAATTGTTTCTTCTGGAGCGGGGAATAAGGGAAGTTCCATGGGAAAGCTGAAGCCACAGCCTGTGAATAGCACATGCAACACAAAATCCTGGAAACTTAATCTTGGTGAAACAGTGTGAGAATTTGTTGCAACGTTTGATGTCTCATCAGTTTGGTTTTGTCTTCAATACTCCAGTGGATGTTGTCAAGTTGAACATCCCTGATTACTTCACTATTGTCAAGCATCCTATGGACTTGGGAACAATTAAGAGCAGAATTATGTCAGGCTTGTACTCAAGCCCATTGGAATTCGCTGAAGATGTCAGGCTGACATTCAGCAATGCTATGCTGTACAATCCAAAGGGGAACGATGTTCATATCATGGCTGAGAGCCTTAAAAAGTTTTTTGAAGTGAGATGGAAATCCATTGACAGAAAGTTGCCGAAGAAGGTGCCCAAACCTCAGCCAGAAAATTCAGTTCATCGCAATGATTTTGATGCTGCTCAAATGCAATCTATTAAGAAGAGGAAAACTAAGCCCATCTAAGCATGAAGCTATTGTGGAACCTGCGGAGCGGTTAGTTTCCACGGATGAGATAACCAAATTGGGCTCAGAGCTTGAGTCATTGTTGCCTGAAATGCCTATGCATATCATTGATTTCTTGAGAGAGCACAGCAATGGTGGACAGATGCTGTTTAGATGAAATAGAGATAGACCATTGATAAACCTCAGCGATGACACATTAATCGCTCTGAGGCAACTCTTAGATAATCATTCTAAGAGAAGACAGAGAAGCAAGCTAGAGTGGAGCCTTCCGAAATAGAGGTACTCTATACATCGATTATTTTGTTGTAACTTGTAATAGTGTACCGTTGTCGTTGATATAGCATAATCTTATTTGTCTTCCTTTTTCTAGCTATTGAATGTCTCAGGCCCAAGCAATTCATCCTTGCAACAGCAAAGAGGTATATTTCCATTCTTATTATCTTATTGGATTGGACTTTGCTATGAACTTTCTTGATGGTGGTGTTCATGTATTAGTAAACGACCTAGCAGATGAAGATGTTGATATTGGTGAGAATGAGCCTCCTGTGTCTAGCTATCCTCCTGTGGAGATAGCGAGTGATATAGGCTGCGAGAGCAACAGAGTTATGAGTTCAGGGAGCTCTAGGGGTAAGTTATACAGCTCTTTTGTTTGTTTGATCTGGATTATGATTTTATTTGTTATCACTTGGAAGAGTGTTATGCTGAGCTTGTTTCAAGATTAGGTAGTAAAGGTCTTCTTTATTTTGGTGTGTAGCCTGTTTTCGCTGTGTAGCTATTATACAACCAGAGAGAGTTGTTTCCGCTTCTTGTAATTTTATCAGGCTCTTTATATATCTGACTAATTTTATTCCCCTCCCTCTCTTCATACTCAGATTCTGGCGGTTCTTCTGAAGTTGAATCTGATCACGTGAAACCTTCAAGTCGATCACCTGTGTCTAAGGTTGGCAACTATTTGGAACTTCTTCATGGTCGGTTGTTTAAATGAAAATATCAGAGTGTGCACCGTAGCTTTGGTGGCTTTTGCGGAACTTCGATATGATGTCTGACTAGGTTTTAATTCCTGACGAACTTGATTCGTATTTACTAGGTTCTGGATGATATGGTTCGTGGAGGTCAAACTGATGAGAAGAAAATTGGTGATCATCCCCTGGATAGAACTCGTGAGTCCTCTGTTTGGAATAATTGAATGGGTTCTTGTGCCTGGAAGCTTGATTTAGATCAGGCTAATCAAGAATTTCGTTTGGAATTAGTTGGATGCGAATAGGTCTAGGTCATTTGCAGGTTCTTGAACAGGTGGTCCCTGGGTATTTAACTATTTAATGAAGCTTTTTGTAACGAAGTTACTGTCTCATCTGTTTCTATGGTCAATTGTGGAAGGATCCTTTTGTGATTTGTTGAGGTGGTATTGCCCCGTGTTGGAATTTTCTCTGATAGAAACCTGTTCAACAGAATCTGACAGTGGGTTGGATCAGCTGGAAGAGAACTCTGAAGAAAGCCTGGGTCAGATTATTCGGATGGTCATCAAGATGGTAAGGTTGAGGGTGTGGAAGGGGAGATAGCTTGGATGTTATATTGCAGGTTGTATAGCACTGATGAGTCCCGTAATTGTCACAGGAGAAAGTGCTCCTAGTGGGAGTCAGGAGTTCCCCTCATAAGGATTATAGGGCGGCTATGATCAGAAACCGTTTCTCTGACATGATACTGAAAGCTAGGGAAGAGAAGACCCTCTTACAGGTAACAACACTGTATTGGCTTATTCTACTCTTATCAAGTAGTTAAGTTGCTGTTACTCATGCTTATGGTCTCCATCTCTATGTTGTTGGTATCAGGTTGACAAGGTGGATCCAGACAAGCTGCAGAAGGAAAGGGAGAAACTACGAGTTGCAGAAAAAGAAAGGTTCCTGCGGTTCGATCTTTGATATTGTTTCTGTAGTCAATAAAGCTATTGGGTATACAGTGTTGGTTAATAATTTTTGGATGACATATGGAATGTTGGCGTTCCAGGAGAAAGCGAGGCTACAAGCTGAAGCAAAGGCTGCCGAAGATGCCCGGAAGCAAGCGGAAGGCAGCTGCAGCAGCCGAGGCCAGACGGCTGTTGGAGGTTGAAAGAGAAGCAGCACGTCAGGCGCTGCTCAAGGTAAGGATGTGCCAGATCTCTGCAAGAGCATCGTGATCATTCCAGAGAGTACTAATGAAGGGCGCTGCGCTGTGTTTTCTGCAGGTTGAGAGAACTGTTGAAATCAACGAGAACTCCAAGTTCCTGGAAGACCTAGAGATGCTTAGAAGTGCTCCTGCCGAGCAGGTACCAAGCTCTGTGGACGAAGTGAGCCCAGATAACTCTCCGGATGGGTTGGGTGGTTTCAAGTTTGGTGGGGACAGCAATCCGTTGGAACAACTTGGCTTGTTTAGGAAGGACGATGAAGAGGAGGAAGAAGGCGAGCCTTTGAGCGTTCCACAGGAAAGTTTCAAGTTTGGTGGGGATAGCAATCCATTGGAGCAGCTTGGATTGTTTAGGAAGGACGACGAAGTGGAGGAAGAAGGTGAGCCTTTGAGCGTTCCACAGGAAATGAATGATGTGGAGCCAGAAGAGGGAGAAATAGATTAGGCCTTCAAAGGATGGACTAATTTAGTGGATATCTATGTCAGAAACAAAAATGAAAAAAAAAGAGAAATAGAAAAGAAAATGCTGGACACTTTGCAGCTGCTTCAGCTGTGAGAGATCTGTAACTGTGAGCCAAGTATAGCAGTCAACTTGTCCGTGAGAGTCGAGTTACATTGCAGGGTGAATCTGGCTGCTACCCCTCAGAGGTGGAAGAAAGGACTCGGATGGTTGCAGAAGAATAGCTCAGTTCGTGCTCTCATGGATGTATATATAATGCAGTTTTGCCTTGAGCTTTTGGAGAAGCATTGTTGCTCTTTAAGTTAAATCCACAGCCTGAAGAAGAGACGGTACGACGATAGAGGGAAAAACATGACTTGCATACATCCTTTGCCTTGGATTGTCGAGGTGAGTCTATTGGACTGTAGGCTTGCAGTGTACCGGAGAGAATGACTTGGTGGTTTTGTGATATAAGAGTTAGGCGGGGAGTGAATTTCTATGTAAAAAGTAATTTCGTAGTGTTTGCTTAAATAGAATACCTTTTTGTTTATGCGGCAACAGCAGAAGCAGCTATTACTAATTACTGACTGAAGCAAAAGTAAACCTTGTTAACAGTAACCAGAAAGATCGGATAATAGCCTTTTTCTCTTCCGTTGGGATTGTGATTACCATTACCTATTGGGAGATGAGAGTAACAAGATCTCGATGCAATAGCTGCTGTCCCAAACTCGCAACAGATGCTCGATGAGTCTGTTGCCACTGTTCTAAACGAGGGTCGAGCTTGATTGTTGTGTTTCAAGTATGCGGAATCCTAAAGGATCCTAGAAGTTCCAATCCACGCCAAGTTTGCTAGTGTTATGAGTAACGCAGTCGATTGTACAGCAGAAACCTTGTTTCATAAAACTAAAATCTCCCTTACATAAAGAATACAACACAAAAACCTTACATGAAGAAAACACAAAACCTTGAAACGTTGAAAAATCTTAGTATATGGACTTCTTTGTAAAAAGTATATAGTAGATGGACCAATACTCACCAACCCTTAGAAAAGAGGAGCTAAGATTAGCGATGAGATTAGTTACTAGTAAGTAACCATTAATGACCAACCAACCTACTCCATTGTTGCTTTATTAGCAGGAAATGGAATAAAGAAGAAGAAGCCATTGACATTATTGACAAGTCCTCTCCTCGAGAATAGCAAAAAAAATTTCTAAGCCACCAGATTCATATATAATCCTCAACCGATGATGACGCCACTTTCCTTCAATTTTCCCTCCACTCATCAATTTCCCTAATTTTTCCCCACCCGCGAAGCAATGCAGCTGCTCCAAACCCTAATTCCGCCATCCTCCTCACCCACCGCCGTTGCAGCGGCGCTACCTGTCGCTTTCGCCTCCTTTCTCGTCATCTACATCCTCGGTTACTCTTTGGTCTTCCGCCACTGGCCGTCCGGTGCTCGCTCCGAGGCTTCCAGCTGCCTGATCTCTTTGTTTCACGGCACCCCGGCCGTGTTCCTTGCCTCCTTCGCAATTTACTCCGACTCCGATCGCGGGTTCGCAGCCACCAACACCCCCTCTCAATCCGCCGTGCTTGATTTCAGCGTTGCATACTTCTTCGTAGATCTGCTCCACTACGTCTTCTTCTTCTCTCCCCTGGGGATGCCCTCTTCATCGGGCACCATTTGGCTACTCTATTTGTGTTTCTCACGTGTCGGTACCTCGTCGGCCACGGCGCGTTCGCGATACTGACCCTGTTGGTCCTCGCTGAGGTCACCAGCTTCTGCCAGAACGTGTGGACGCTGGCCGGGGTGAGAAAGGGAGATTCCAAGCTCGCCGCGAGGGTGTATCGTTTGTTGTCCCCGCCGTTCTATGCGTTCTACTCCGTCGTCCGTGGGGTTCTGGGGCCGGTGTTTATGTATAAGATGGGGGAGTTTTATTGGAGTGGGGTGGCAGATGGTGTTGTCCCCAGGTGGATTTGGGTTTCGTGGATGGTGGTTGTGATTGGTGCCATCTCTGTTAGCATCTTGTGGATTATCAACTTGTGGGTGGAATTGTACAGAGAAAGGAAGGTGGATGGTAGATTGGAGAAGAAGAAAGACAGGTAGAAGAAGAAGAACATAGATTGGGGAAAAAACGTAAAAATGGAGTCTTTTGCTTTGTTTTTTGGATATAATGTCAAGGGTAGGAAGTAGAAGAGAGAATTTCTCAATTGTGTGTAACCATTTGGGATTGAAATTGAAGCTTCTCCACTGCTTTCTTCATGTGCATTCTCAATTGGATATGGTGATATAAGATGCGATATTCCTTTCCCTCACTCGGTTTTATCAGTTTTGTGAAGTGGGAATTCTGATGTGCCCCATGTTTTTCAGTGTCTTCTTCTGTCATTTGGTTTGTCTGTTTTCTTTATCTTTAACGTCTTGTGCAATGAGTTGGGAAGTTCTCTTAGGTAGCTTCTAGCTTGTGCTGCATTTTGTCATGCTAAGTTGGGATGAGATGGAGGCATCATTAGTCATTTTGTGATGGCTTGTTTAAGCTTTGGAAAGTCTGCACTTTTGTTCAAATTGCCTTCATCTTCCCGGAGATTGTTCATGCGACCTAGGTATATTAGAATGGAGGATTCATTGCCAGCTATGAGGGTGCTAGTTGTGATGGTTTCTTTAAGTTTCGGAAAGTCTGCACTTTTGTTCAAATTGCTGTGCCCAGACACCATAGAACTTCATTCCTCGTGCAGTTCGTTGATCTGCCCTAGGTATATGAGAATGGAAGATTCATTGTCAGCTAGGACGGTGCTAGGAATTTGTCTTGGTTTCTATAACCTTAAGAATCAGAAACTGTGCTGGGGTTGGCCATTTCCTTGTGATAACTCTCAGGCTTGATAAGATGAAGATGCCAGATTGGATACTGTTTGATTTATGATGTTGCCTTCGTTATCAAAATGAAGATTACGTGGACCATCTTTTCTGGAGTTTCACTTTCTAGATCGTTGATGTGACCCAGTATGGCATTATCCATGGCCCTTTTCTCTGAGAAGTTGCATGATGTTTTACTATATTGGATGCCATAACTGACGTATCTTCACAACTCACAGAAAAAGTGAATGCCATTGCGATGTCCTTACACCGTATATATCTTAGGGAAGCATTAAAGTTTTCTATTTGTGCTTAGGTCGGGTGAACAGTGTACTTCGTATCATCCAACTGTATATTCGTCCCTGTATGCTTCGGCTGGCTACGAGTTCGTGTAATGCAGTCTGTCAATACAATATCAGAAGAGTATTATCTGCTTAGTTTCTTTTGGAGCTCGAGCATATTGATTCGTAATTGGAGGATGAGTGGATGACAAATCAACAGATGAAATGAAATGGAATCCCAACTACATTACTTTCCTACTGCATAAGAAGATACTGTTCACAATAGAAAATAGAAGTGCAGAAGAATACCAAGTTATCAACAGAAGTGGTAAACAAACTGGTACTGTATTCCAAACCTCCTACTCTGGCAATGAGACAAAATAAAATCTTAAATCTGATTGACATCCTAAAATAGAATAACAGGCCTCTATGAACAACAGTTTGAAATGCCCTTCCTTCGGCTTCTTTTTTCATCATTGTCAGTTTCATTTCCTTCACTCTACTGCAACTGTTGTTTCTCACACTAATTGTAGAATTTGAAATCTTTGGCATGCACGATGATGTTTCTTAATCCTCCAATCGGCCCCAGAATCATCAGCATTACCCCAAGTATGATGCAAATCTGCAGCCAGCAAAACAGGAACAACAGGTAATCAGCTGATGGTTTTTTGCTTAACAATCTATGCTTAGGTAAACTGAGATTACGAAAGGATGCTCATGATTGAAATTTTTACCCAGTTGATGAACCATGAAAGGCTGAACTTTTTTGGCTTGACGATGGCAAGCCAAATGATGCAGGGGAGCTGCCAAGAGAGAACAAAATAGAACGTTGATCAGGTATTATCCGACATATGAGTGAGCAAGGTCTCGAAAGAAGGTTGAAAGCTTACGAAGTATGTCGTTGGTGCAAAAGCGAATCCTCCGAAGAAACTAAGCAACGCACCAAAGAAAGGGAAGGTGATGCCGATAAACATTGTGAGTGCTGAAAAAAAGTGAAGCAAGTAAGTTCACCATCAGAAACCCCAGAATCGAATATCAATGCCCCTGATTTGAGACTGTGAAAGATGTTCACTAACTTACCAACGTAGACGGTACGAGTAATAAATCGAAGCTTGAAGGATGGCTTGAAGTTCAGCTTCTTCACCAGGGTACTCTCCATCATGTCGAAGACAGGCATTGCAAACAACTACAATGGGAGAAGCCAAAATGAGTTGTGGATGGTCGGTTGGATCGTAATTGAACGGTGAAGAGCTATTGTGAAACTCAAATT